TGTTTCTGCGTGGTTGTTCGGTGTGGAGGTTTTCTTTAATGCTGCTATGATTTATGACGACGCCACCCGCATTAATTTCGCAGTTTCACTATTGCGAGGACCTGCGCTGGAGTGGTGGAGGCGAACGCTGCAACACAAGGGGACTTCGGCAGGAAAAGCACGTGGGAACGACGGGACTTCAACACCTGTCACGCATCAGGCAACATCAATTTTTGGGACGGCCACGATACGCACATGGAAGGAGTGGGGCGCCGCCTTGCAAACCAGATTCGAGCACATATCCGCCTCGGACTCTGCTCGCATGCAGCTGCGTACCTGGAAGCAGCTGACTTCAGTCCAAGACTACACCAGCAAATTCTGCAACTTGGCGGACTAGGTGGACGACATGAGCGACGCAGAGCGGTTGGATCGCTACGTGGTGGGCCTGAAATACGAGATACAATACGAGGTCCGACGAACCTGCCCACGAAGCTTCAACGACGCCGTCCGGGAAGCCGAGTCAACGGATGCGCTGATGCAGTGGGCGAGATCGAGCTCCCGGGAGGGCCCTCGATTTCGTGGACCGACTCAGCAAGCCACGATCAACGGCGTGGATGCACCGAGCCGAGCCCTTGGGCCGTGCTTTTTATGCAACCAGCTGGGCCACCTTAAAAAAGACTGCCCGAGGCTTAAGCAGGGGAAGAAGAACGACGGAGAAGGGTCGGGAAAAGATACGAGTCAGTAGCAGACGGGCCACCTACTGACGAGACCCTGTCGCCTGACAATCACCATCCACACCGGGTCGTGGTACCGATCAGAGCTATCGACCAGAACCGGACGAATAACGTGGGTGAACACGTGGACTACCCTGTGCTGGTGGTAGGGAGGGTTAACGGTTATAAGATAAAAATCTTCGTTGACGGTGGGGCGAGCCACAGTCTCGTCAACCTGGCAACGGCCAAAAAAATTAGGGTGAAGTTGACCAGGTGTCTGCCGGAGATCGATGCAAGGTTGGTGGACGGAACACCGCTGGCCATCCGAGATGAGGCGCAAAAAATTCGGATACAGTGCAGTGACAATTTCGGGTTTGGCATGAAAATGTTGGCGACGACGTTGGACGGCTGCGACGTGCTGCTGGGGAGGGATTGGCTGCAGCGTTTCAATCCGACGATCGACTGGACGACTGAGACGTGCGTCGTGCGAGGATACGGAGGGAAGACGACGCTTCCGAAATGGACGGAGCCGGAGCCGGTGACGACACGTGTCAACGCGGTCAACATGCAGCGTGCGATGAACGGCGGAGCTCAGGCCTTCTTGGTACATCTATACGAGGTGGTAGCTTCCGAAAAAATCGCGGACATCGACACCCTCTGCGCGGCAGTCCCCGAGGAATTGGCGAGCATCATTCGGAGGTATCCCGAAATTTTCGCGGATGACCTCCCGGATGGCTTGCCCCCCCAACGACTTGAAGACCATCGGATCCAGCTGGAGCCAGGGGCGCAACCCACTGTTCGGTCACAGTGGCGGCTCAGCCAACCAGAGCTCGCCGAATTGCGAGCCCAGCTAGATTACCTGCTCGCCAAGGGATTTATCCGACCCAGCACGTCGCCGTATGCAGCACTGATACTGTTCACGCCGAAGAAGGACGGTGGCCTACGCATGTGCATTGATTATCGAGCGCTGAATCGGGTCACGATAAAGTCGCGTTACCCGATCCCACGAACCGACGATCTGCTGGATCAACTTCGCGGAGCTCGGTATTTTTCAAAAATCGACCTGCGAGGAGGCTACCACCAAATTCGCGTGTTCGCCGACGACTGCCTGAAGACAGCTTTTCGCACACGCTACGGCAGTTACGAGTTCACAGTGATGTCGTTCGGCCTGACAAACGCGCCCTCGACGTTCCAGCTCACCATGAATGGAATTTTTCGAGACATGCTGGACAAGAAGGTCATCGTGTACCTGGACGATATCCTGGTGTAAAGCGCGACAAAAGAAGACCATCTGCAGGATTTAGAGGAGGTGTTCCGGCGTTTACAAGGGCATCGGCTAATTACAAAGGGGTCTAAGTGCGAGTTTCTGAAGCCGGAATTGGAATTTTTGGGACATGTGGTCTCTGGCGACGGGATTAAAATCGACCCGTGTAAAGGGGACGCCATAGTTAAGTGGAAACCGCCTACTAATATTCCTGAGTTGCAAAGTTTTTTGGGGTTTGTTAACTACGTCTGTCGTTTTGTACCTAACATGGCACGGATAACCAAGCCGCTGACCGACCTGCTGCATCACGACAGTAATTTTCGGTGGGGGGAGAGGGAGCAATCCGCCTTCGACGCTCTCAAAAACATTTTGGGTTCACCCCCGGTACTCCGCCTCGCCGACCCATCTCGACCGTTCGAAGTCGTCACGGACGCCAGCGATTTCGCCGTCGGCGCCGTCCTACTACAGAATTTCGGCCAAGGGCTGCAACCCATCGCCTACGAGTCACGCAAGATGCAGCCACCCGAGCGTAACTACCCAGTCCACGACAAAGAGATGATGGCCATCGTTCATGCATTTCGTGTCTGGCGCTGCTACCTCACGGGAGCCGATGTGACAATTCGGACCGACCACAAGTCACTACAGTACATGCGCACACAACCGGCACTCAACCCGCGACAAATTCGGTGGTTGGACTTCCTCGAGTCCAATTTCCGGTACACCATCACGTACAAAAAGGGCGCCAACAACATCGCCGACGCCCTTACCGGACCAACCATGCAAAACGCGGCGGTACTAATCGCCCACACTAACCCGATGCTGACGGGACTATTCACCCACGGCTACAAGATCGACAGGTTTTTTCGGAACCCGCAACAACAGGCTGCTACACCGCACGGCAAATACTACCTAAAAGCCGGTACGAACCGGATTTGGGTACCAGCATACCAGCCTTTACGAGAGCTGCTGACGCAGGAGGTTCATGACTCCAACCTTTCCGGGCATTTCGGCACCGATAAAACACTGAAGCTGCTGCAGCGGAATTATTACTGGCCGGACATGCAGTCCGATGTACAGCGCTACTTGTCAACTTGCCCGACCTGCCAAGCAATGAAGTCGTCGCGACAAAGGCCAGCCGGACTGCTGCAACCCCTCGCACCACCTGAACGACCGTGGCAACAGGTGACGATGGATTTCGTCACGGGGCTCCCAGCTGGCGCAAGTGGCAACGACTCGGTGCTGGTCATCGTCGATCGCCTAACGAAGATGGCGCATTTTGCCCCATGCCGAACGACGATCACAGCCGAAGATACAACCAAACTGTTCATCTCCACCGTCGTACGCCTACACGGGTTGCCTTCGGCGATCATCAGCCATCGTGATCCGAAATTTACGTCGAAATTCTGGCAGGAAACGTGGGCACAGTACGGTACCCGCCTGCAGTTTTCGTCGTCATACCACCCGCAGACCGACGGACAGACGGAACGGACAAATCAGACCATGGAGCAGCTGATTCGCACCAACTGCCCCGACATTCGCAGGTGGGAAGATTCGCTGCCGATGCTGGAATTCGCGTACAACAACGCCCCATCGGCCACGACTAAACAATCACCCTTTTTCCTGAATTACGGGATAGACCCCGTGGTACCCTCTTCCACGACTGTGGACAACCCGGTACCAAGATCGCAGCAGTTTGTCACGGAACTGCAAACCGCCCGAACGAAAGCAGCCGAGTTCATTCGCAAGGCTAATACCACAGCCAGTCGTCAGGCGGACAAACATCGACGGAACTTACCCTTCCGCCCGGGGCAGGTTGTACTTCTGGACACCAAGAACCTTCGGCTGCCGCAGCCCACGAAATTACGGCCCCGCTACGTGGGACCTTTTCGGATCATCCAGATGGTGACACCTGTTTCCGCGAAGCTGCTGCTGCCCGACGATTGGAAGATACATGATGCCTTCTACGTCAGCCTGTTGCGTCACTACGAACAGCCGCAGTCGCCAGCTGTTGCTCGACCGACCCTCGCGCCGACCACTCGCCCCGTGGCAGAGCCCACGCTGGAACCCTGAAAAATTCTCAACCATCGCGTGGACGTGACTGTTGCCGGCCGCTCAGTGAAATTGCTGCTTCGCTGGAAAGACCGCACGAGCGAGGACAACACGTATGTCGCTGCTGACTCGCTTCTGGGACACCCGGTTTTGGACGCTTACCTCGCCCGCCGAGGTGTTTCGGATATTCACCACCTTTCTTAAAGGGGGGGTTAGTGTAAGGAATTTTCCGGATTCCTTACTGGGTCACACTGTACGCGTACAACTCCGACTTTCGGAAAACCAGGCTCGGCCCGCCGACCTCGCCTTCCGAGCCACCACTGCGTCGCTTTCGGGTTTTCCAACCCCGAACCTACACCCAACCATCCCGCGACCCCGCGACCTCGGCCTAGCTAACTTTGCTACCGTCATCACCCGGATATAAGACAGTGTTGAATAGTAGACAGGGGTTGTCTATTATACGGGTGTCTCTTATAAACGGGGTAGCCTCATTATAAGACACCTATTTGTGTGTAGGGGCAAATGGCAAATGTATAACGAGGAAGTATCTTCTAAACAGATTTTTGTCCATTTATAAGACTGATTTTTTTAATGTATGAGATAAGACTTACATGTCTCATATCCGGGCGATGACGGTATATTATGACTAGGCCTCGTTGTTCATTCAGACGTTGTAATCACTTCCGCACTATTGACTTCTGCGCACTCTTTCCTTTCACAACTTATAACATGGAACATGAACAGCAGGCACAATCCTTATCCCCGTGATTTCATGGAAAAACGCTAAGTGGAAACAAATGGAATGAACAGCTATGACATCCCCGACTACATTATTACTGTCGCTACACCCCTAAGCCTCCTCCCATTAAGCTTATGCTCCTGCAGCTGCTGCCGCATTCTGTTGACCAATTCTCTGCACCAAAGCCAAACCCACTGCTGCCTTTCCTACCGACCATTTCCTTTCCTCCTGCCAAACCCAACCATAGCTGCTGCTCCTACTCCTCCTGCTGCTGTTGCTTATTACTCTTTCTTAGCTGCATCTGTGCCTGCGGAGTTGCCTGCGCCTGTCCATGTGAGCGCGGTGCGTGCAGGGGCAGGGAGGGCGGGGGCAGCAGCAGGCGGCGCAGCAGCTCGTACGAGGCAAAGAAGATAGAGCCCTGGGAGATGTAGATCAGCAGCCGAGGCGCCACTCCTCTGGTGGTACAGATGGGTTTAGAACGGTTCAGGGTGGTGGGAAAAGACGGAGGAGGATGGGGGTTAGGGCAATGGAAGAGGTTCGTGGAGCAGAGGAGGTGGTGTTAGAGAGACAAGGGAGTGGGTGGAGGGAGGGCGGGAGGGAGGGAGGGAGGGAAGGAGGGAGGGAGGGAGGGAGGGAGGGAGGGAGGGAGGGAGGGAGGGAGGGAGGGAGGGAGGGAGGGAGGGAGGGAGGGAGGGAGGGAGGGAGGGAGGGAGGGAGGGAGGGAGGGAGGAGGGAGGGAGGGAGGGAGGGAGGGAGGGAGGGAGGGAGGGAGGGAGGGAGGGAGGGAGGGAGGGAGGGAGGGAGGGAGGGAGGGAGGGAGGGAGGGAGGGAGGGAGGGAGGGAGGGAGGGAGGGAGGGAGGGAGGGAGGGAGGGAGGGAGGGAGGGAGGGAGGGAGGGAGGGAGGGAGGGAGGGTGCACAGAATAGCACAACCTTCCACTCCCTGATTGCCACCCAAGTCCCTTGCTCTATCCCTTGCTCTATCACGCTGGTATTACTCCCCACCCCTGCCTCACCGGTACAGCGCCCCAATGCCTTCCTCCCTGGCGATGCGTGAGAATGCATCCACCACTCCCTTGTACTTGGGCGCGCCTGGTAGCTGGTGCGGGGGAGACAGACACATGCACACAGCCACACATGCACACAGCCACACATGCATGCATGCACCATGCGGTGCAGCCATTCACACGCATACATATCAGGGGCACACGGATATGAATGACAATGTCAGAAGTAGGAAAAGCTCTGTCAATGCCCTCCCCCTTGCTCTCCTATCCCCTCCCCTCCACCCTCACCCCCCTTTCCCCCATGGAGCTCACTGCTGGGCACACACACAGCACACAGCCTTGCACGCCCACCATCGTCATTCTTTTTTTAAGACTTAACCTCATCTGACATGTCGAGTCCACATCTGACATGTCGAGTCCACATCTGACATGTCGAGTCCACATCTGACGTGTCGAGTCCACATCTGACATGTCAAGTCCACTCACGTCTTTGTGCATGTCAGTCAGTGCACACCGAGTCGCCGATTTCCAGTCCCGTCCAGCCGCACAGCCATGAAAGAGCAGCGCTGACACGACATCCCACCACCCGGAGCCATGCACGCACCCCACCATCCAACCAAACCCCCCTCTTCCCCAACCCGGCTTCTTCACCCTCCTCCCTCTCCTCTCCTGCAGGCCATTTTGAGGCAGGCACCCTAGCGGAAACTCCCCTCCCCCCCCCCCACCACTCACCATCATCATTCTTTTTTTAAGACTTAACCTCATCTGACATGTCGAGTTCACATCTGACATGTCGAGTCCACATCTGACGTGTCGAGCCCACATCTGACGTGTCGAGTCCACATCTGACGTGTCGAGCCCACATCTGACGTGTCGAGTCCACATCTGACATGTCGAGTCCACCCACATCTTTGAGCATGTCAGTCAGTACACGCCGACTTCCAGTCCAGCCACACAGCCATGCAAGAGCATCACTGACACAACATCCCACCACCCGGAGCCATGCACGCACCCCACCATCCAACCAAACCCCCCTCTTCCCCAACCCGGCTTCTTCACCCTCCTCCCTCTCCTCCCCTGCAGGCCATTTTGAGGCAGGCACCCTAGCGGAAACTCCCTTCCCCCCCCCCCCCCCCCCCCCCCAACCACGCTCGCCACCCCACCCCCTTACATGCGTCTGCAGGCGTGTCTTGACAACATCAAAGGGCGTGGTGCAGAACGCTGCTGTGGACCCTGCTGCTCCCCCCACCAGCAACTGATGGGACGAGGAGCACAGTGGAGAGGGGCGGGCAGAGACCAGGAGGAAGGGGAGTAGGGGGGAGGAAGGAGGGAGGCAGAAGGGCAAGGGAAGTGGGAGTGGATTGACAACGTCAAAAGGCGTGGTGCAGAACGGTGCTGTTGACCCCACTGCCCCCCCACCAGCAACTGCGGGGGCGAGGAGCAGCGGGGGAGGAGGTGAGCAGGGACGGGAAGGGGGAGGGAGGAGAGAGGGGTCGGGGAGGGATGGGAGAAGCAGGAGGGGTTAGAAGGAGGGGGGGATGGTGAGGATGATGGTAGAAGGGGGGGAAGGAGGGAGGAGGCAAAGGGCAAGGGAAGTTTGTTAAACATTCCAGCAAGCAGGAGTTTAAAGGACAAGTGAGTGGGAGTGGATTGAACAGCTCAAAATAGCACCTCAGTGGGAGGGAAGGGGGTGGCGGTGGGTGGGTGAGAGGCACACACGCACCCCCCCTCCTTTCCCCCCCCCACTTTTCCCTTTCACCCTCCTCCTCCTCCCTCCATCCAAGCCCCAAGCACAGACGTGGGGTGGCAGGCAGGGGGACACCCCGCATAGGGACAGTATACCGCACGCACGCCGCGCACCTGGTTGGCCGGGGAGAGCAGGGTGGCATGCGGCCCGTCCGCCCCACCAAGCCCAGGCGGGGATGGGGTGGCGGGGGGATACCCCGCCTAGGGACGGTATACCGCACCTGGTTGGTTTTGAAGCGCCTCAAAACCAGATGGGGGTGGGGTGGCGGGGGGATACCTTGCCTAGGGTGGGAATACCGCACCTGGTTGGCGGGGGAGAGCAGGGTGGCATGCGGCCCGTCCGCCCCCTCAGCTGCCTTGACCTGCGCCTCCAGTGCTCGCTTCTTCAGCGCCTCGTACGTCAGGAACTGGTGGGGCGCGCACGGCAGACACGGTGCATGGGTGGGGGGTTGTTTTTCATTCAACTCAAAAATAGACCTGCGCTTCCGGTGCTCGCTTCTTCAGCGCCTCGTATGTCAGGAACTGGTGGGGCGCGCAGGGCAGGCGCGGGGTGACGGGAAGGGGATGGTGGGCGAGGGAGTGCAGTGAGGAGGAGGGCATAGGGAGAAGGGAGGTGTGGAGGAGATGGGGGGGGGGGGGGAAGGAAAGTGCAGCAGCAGCAGCGGCGGCGGCGGCGGCGGCAGCAGCACTAGCAGCAGCACACCTTGATGACGGAGTTGGGGATGTTGCGGGCCAGCACGGCTGCCAGCCCACCGTACAGCGACGCCACGCCCTCTGTGCGCGCCATGCCCACCAGCGCATGCCTGCCAGCATGATGCACCACGCGTGGGGGTTGGATGGAGGGGGGGAATGGATATGGTGGTGGTGGCGGTGGTGGTGCAGAGAACACATGAGGCAGAGAGACCACACGAGATGCAGGGAGAGGGAAGCGAGTAGTGTGGAGTAGGTGGAGAGGCAAAGCAGGGGGAGAGCGGAGGGGGGAGAGAGAGGGGGGGAAAGCACAGGCAGCACGGGCTTGAGAGGAAGACAGAGCAGTGGTGCAGGTTGCACCGTGCGGACTGGGAAGAATTGGCAGGGAGGGAGGGCAGCACAGCATTCAGGTATGACGAGAGTCAGTGCTCCAAGCATGCACCAGGTATGGGGGTCGGACTCGTTCCAAAGGCCTCCATGCCCCATACATTCAGAGTGGAGGTGGGAGGAACGTAGGGGCAGCAGCGGCACGGAAGAGTGGCAGTGACACGGAAGAGTGGCAGTGACACGGAAGAGTGGCAGTGACACGGAAGAGTGGCAGTGACACGGAAGAGTGGCAGTGACACGGAAGAGTGGCAGTGACACGGAAGAGTGGCAGTGACACGGAACAGCAAGGTGGCAGTGCTATGAGGCGTCAAACGCAGCTCTGATTTGGCTGGCAGGGTGGGGTTGCTGGCAAGCACTGACAGGGAGCAGCGGAAGTGCGCTGTGGTCTGCATGCATGCGCTGCTCGCAACAACTGTCCCACTCTACACCGCACTTGCTGCCAGTGCCACCTAATGCGGGTCCTTTGCACTGACAGCGAGGAGCGGAAGTGCGTGGTGGTCTGCATGCATGCGCTGCTCACAACAACATCAGCGAAAGTGTGTGGTGGTGTCATAACCCTAAACATCAGTTGCTGCCAAGTGATGCCAAAACACCTAAATGAGAACCCCAATGAGAATCCTTTTGAGGCGCCTCAAAAACCCCAATGAGACTGACAGCGAGGAGCGGAAGTGCGTGGTGGTCTGCATGCGCTGCTTGACTGCCTCGCTGGGTGTGAACACCGCTGACGTCGCCACACTCGCCGCTGCCCCCGCCACACTATGCGCCACTGGCGCTAGGCGCTGGGGGGGGAAGAGAGAGGACAGAGCGAAGTGCGGGGGAGAGGGGAGAGGGGGGAGAGGGGAGAGGGGAGAGGGGGGAGAGGGGAGAGGGGGGAGAGGGGAGAGAGGGGAGAGGGGAGAGGGGGGAGACGGGGAGAGGGGACAGAGGGGAGAGGGGGGAGACGGGGAGAGGGGGAGAGGGGAGAGGGGGAAGAGGGGAGAGGGGGGAGAGGGGAGAGGGGGGAGACGGGGAGAGGGGGGAGAGGGGAGAGGGGGGAGAGGGGAGAGGGGGGAGAGGGGAGAGGGGGGAGACGGGGAGAGGGGAGAGAGGGGAGAGGGGGGAGACGGGGAGAGGGGGGAGACGGGGAGAGGGGAGAGAGGGGAGAGGGGAGAGGGGGAGACGGGGAGAGGGGAGAGAGGGGAGAGGGGGGAGAGGGGGGAGACGGGGAGAGGGGAGAGAGGGGAGAGGGGAGAGGGGGAGACGGGGAGAGGGGAGAGAGGGGAGAGAGGGGAGAGGGGAGAGTTGGCCAGAGGGGTGAGAGTGGGAGAGGGGAGAGGGGGGAGAGGGGAGAGAGGGGGAGAGGGGTGAGAGTGGGAGAGGGGAGAGAGGGGGAGAGGTGTGAGAGGGGGGAAGGGGAGAGAGGAGAGGGCGCGGGGAGGACGGAAAGAGGGGCATGGATGGAAGGAAGCGTTGGGGAAAGGTGTGCATGCAGTGTGCACGAAGGCTTTTTAGAGTGCAAGCATTGGGAACGGCACACACACTGCAACGTGAAGTGCCGTGTGCATGCAAGTGGCACCTTGTGAGTCGACCCAGAAAAGAGAGAAAACCACAGCAATCCTCGCCCTGATGCCCCTCTCCCCCCAATCTCCAGCCACTCCCCCTCTGTTTCTACCCCCCCACTCCCCCGTTCTCCCTCTTCCCCTGCCCCCCCACCTGCGGCACGAGCGGCAGCAGCGCCTCCTTAACAGCCTCGTACGTGCACGCGTAGATGGCGCTGATGGGCGCCGCTGTCGCCAGACTCGCCGCCACTCCTGAATACAGCCCCAACGGGCCTGGGGTAGCGGATGGCGGAGGGCGGAGGGCGGATGGGGAATGGGAGGGGGAAGGAGGGAGGGGGGTGGGGGATGGGGATTGAGCATGGGGGATTTGCGAGTAAGGAATGAGGATGGGTGATTGGGGTGGAGGGAGAGAGCCAGGACGAGGACGAGGGACGGGGGGAGGGGGGAGAATTGGGCGAACTGGGGGTCAAGAGCGGGTTTGAAAGGAGGTTATGTGGGCGGGAAGACACGAGAAGGAGGGATGCACAGATAATGGAAGGGAGTCGGGAGTGGGGGGAGTGAGAAAAGCAGTGGGAGGGGAGGGAGGGGGAGGGGAGGTGGTGAGAAGGGGAGGGGAGACGAACAGAGGCATGCGAGCAACAGCAAGCCACAACACCACCCTGTGACTACCATGCCCTTGTAGCCCCTTGAAACTTCCCCTCATTCCACACCCTCCCCCCATCCCTGCCATTCTCACACCCCCCTCCCTCCCTCCAGCTCCCGCCTACCTCCTCCTCCCCCTCGCCCTCCCCCTCCCCTCCCCCCTTTCCTCCCCCGCATCCCCCCCCACTCTCCGCGCACCTTTCTCCGCCACGACGCGTCCCACGGCGGAGAGCACACCAGACGGCGCGCCGGAGCCGCGGTGCGCCTGCAGCACGGTCTTGACTGTGTCCAGGGGGTGGATGCACACGCTCACCACGCCGCCCGCCAGCCCGCCCGCCAGCGCGTTCCGCGACGCGCTCGTGCGCCGCGCCTCGCCCGCGACCGCCGCCGCCGCCGCCGCGCCCGCGGCTCGGGCGGAAGGAGCGGCTGCAGCGGCGGCGGCAGAGGTCGTGGCGGCGGAAAGAGCGGTAGCAGAGGCAAGAGGAGCAGCTGCAATGGTCGCACTAGCAGCAGCAGCGGCATTGCGAGCAGCAGTGACAACGGCAGTATTGGCGCCCCCTTGCTGCTTCTGTGCTTTGCCCACCTCGCCTGCTTCGCCCTCCTCTCGCCCCTCTCGCTCTTCTCGCTCATCCCGCTCCGCGCTTGTGTCTCCGCCCCGCGCCTCCCCCGCCGCTGTTAGACCCCGAACCCCGCCGCCCGCTTCACCCCACGCCTGCGCGGTCCCCTTCCGCCATCCCCACGGCAGCAGCTTCCGCCAGTGCGCGCCGTTCCCCGCAAGCGCTTCGGCCGCCCGCTTCGCCGCGCCCTCCCCCGCGCCCTTGGCGGCGAGCGCGGACGCGGAGATCGACGCCAGCAGCGGCGGCGGCGGGGGAGGGGCGGCGGTGAGCCGGGAGGAGGCGCGGCACGAACCATCACCTACAACCAAGAGAAGGTTTTCCGAGCCTGTCACCGAGCCTGGTTCCGAGCCTAACAGGGCATGGCAGTCTGGCAAGGCGGGGCGAGAGCGTAACGCGATGACTGTCTGCTGGGCCGTACTGACCCTCCCGTTCTCGCCTCTACCCATCGCTGTTAAACCCGCATCTCCTGCAGTGCTGCCTCCGATCGCCGCACCGCTCGACCCCGCTGCGCGCTTGCCCCGTCCGCGCTGCTGATCGCCCCCCCGCTCCTCCGCCAAGTGGCCCGACGCCGCGCCGCTCTTCTCCCTGCGCCCGACGCGCGCTTCTCCCGTCGCGTGGCGCAATGCCTGGTGCTGCCTGGCGCTGGGAGGCGGAGAGTTGTCCGCGCAGGGGCGCGCGGGGAAGGTGGAAGGCGCGGAGGCGTCGAGCAGCAGCACGGGGAGGTGCTCCCCCCACGCCGCCGTCAGGAGCTCCAGCTCGTACCCCGCCTCCCACGCGCGATTCGCGGCGCCAGATGCGGCGCTGGATGCGGGGAGGTGGTTGGCTACTGGCCGTCCCACTCGTTGCGCATCCGACAGCTGAAAACTCGCGCAGACTGAATCCGATCTGCCCGACGGCGAATCCTGGCCTTGCAAACTGCTCCCAAGAGTCTCGGTGACGCCAGACGAGCCCACAGAACCACCCGCAATTGCCGCCGCTCTGCCCGTTCCCCCTTCAATCTGCGGAGCGCCGCCAGGAAGAACCCCCACCCACTCGCACGCGCGTCTGATCCGCGCCTCGAGATCCGCGCCGCCCCCTCGTCGCGCTCCTTGTTGCGACGCACCTCCTCCCTCGCCGCCATTCTCCCCACCAGCCCTTTTACCCGCTCTCACTACCCGCCCCAATTCCCCCTCCTCTCGGCTCTGACCCGATTCCGCGCCGCCCCGTTCCCCCGCTCTTCCTCCTTTCCCCTGAGCGTCTCCGCCTTTGCCCGTTAGCGGCCACCTGCGCGCACTGGGCTCTCCCCCCCACACCCACGCTCCCCCTCTCCCCGTGATCCGCCCCTCGTCGCCGCTCCGCGCATCCCAATCGGCCGCAGCCGACGCCCATCCGCGAACGGCGGCGTCGGTCACGGCGTCGTCATCGGCACGCGAAACGAGATCTTCTGCCCATGGATGCTGCGGCGCGCGCGACGGCCGTGATTGCGCGCCGTTGGATGCGGCGGGCGCCTTGATGTCGCTGGGCCACCACATGATGACGTGGTGGCGACAACGTGCGACGACTCCGCCTCGCTAACGCCTTCGCGAACCGCTTCGTTTCAACGAATCCGCGATGCAACAGTAATTACAGCTCGCTTCCGAGTCGACACCCTGAAATCGCCAACCGTACGAACGGGGTGGGGTACCAGAATTGGCTGCAATCACAGTTCACAGTTCCCGAGTAACTTGCATTAGCTTCATCTAGCAGCAATTGGCCTAAATCTAGCTACCGAGCGAACGTAGGTCCGATTGGCGATTACAGCCGTGATGATGCTCGAGTCTGGCTGCCCATGCAACAATCTCAATTCTCTTGTCTCCTTTTCTGCGGTGATCCGTGCGTGACCGTGAGCAAATAAACACGGCCTGGCGACTGGGTGCTCTGCTCAGCGATGCTGCTGGCAAAAAATGCGGGTGGGTGTGGAGTGGAGCGGAGCGGAAAAGGCGGGATGGATGGATCATGGAGGTTTGAAAGTTGCTAGGGAAAGGAAAGGGTGTTGTGTAGAGTATGACAGTAACGAGGGATCACGCAGGGACGGATCCCACCCGCGTGACCACATCCAGGCTCAACGGATTTGTTTTCGTTTGCCCCACTTGAGCACTCGCGCACGACGGATGATGGGTCGACGGGGGCTTTTGCCAGGCTGAACCGCGTGGCCTTCATTAACGGGAATAGGTTGTGCAATACAGTTCAGTGACTGAACGTGTGTTATAGGGACCCCATACAAAAACATTATATTCATACTGTTTATAGAACGCTCTGATAGTGGAAGCGCAAGCACAGAAAGTTTAGCACGTAGTACACTTCTCGACAGTAATGTCCCGTCTGTATGCTTCTCCCTCTATTTTGCTTCTGCTCGCTGCATTTCTTTCCTGTCCTCTGCCCTCCGCATTTCCCGCTTCTCGTCTCTTTCATGTCCTCGCCGCATCCCCCACTCCTGCCCTTACCTTAGGAAATAGTTACTCTAAGAAAGTCATACTTTGTACGAAAACCGTGCGACGTACTTTCCTTGAAGTGACGGTGTGGCTTCGTTTTCTTCCTCGTCGTCTTGCTTCTCTGACCTTTTAGCATCTTCTTACTTTTAAGGCGCATAAAATCTTCTCGTTCGTCCACTATCGTCGTCGCGCTATTCGATACTCGATATAGTTGCCAACGGAGAATGGCGTCGTGATTCATGCTTTCATGCTCCTCACGCGTCCGTCCGACGGATTAATTCGCGTGCGTGCCACTTCTGAAACGCCTCGAGATTCGCGAGCCGTGATTTTCATAGTCAAGTGATTTTCCCGTTTTCGAGGAGAACTAAATTCACGTTTGGCGGCCGTCTGTCGACGCGGGCCGTTGTTAGACTGGTTACAGTCGAGTGCTTACCGACGAGTCGTTAGAGAGGTTTTGGCGGGAAACGATGGCCCTCGCGTCGCTCTTCGGCTTTCCGAACATTCCAGAGGAATCTAAGGTGCGCCGCTTGCTGCGCCGTTTGGCTGGGAAAGTGGCTGCGAATCCGTGTGGGGTGTGTCTTGATCCGCTACTGTTCGATGCATTCCCACCCATGCCCTGTCCATGCCCTGCCACGTGCATGAACACACGTGCCCTGCCACGTGCAACCATGTGATCGCGTTGATGCCATCCCTCTTTCCGCCAGCCTTATGCCCCTTCCTCCTTTCGTCTCCATACCACTCACCGTCTACCCTTCCCCCTGTCCCTCCCCTGGGACTGGTCTCTCCCCTGCTGCCCGTGTGGACACATGCGCCGTCCCTCTTCGCCCCCTCGCCCCGTCGCCCCCCCTAACCCGCCCTCGCACTCCCTCGCCTCGCCTCCTCGCCCCGTGGCACCAGAGCATCGAGTTCTGGAAGGATCCTGAACGCTCCGGGTGGCTCACAAAGCAAGGTACGGCCAGAGCAGGGGAGGGAGGGAGCAGGGCGGGGAGGGAGCAGGGCGGGGAGGGAGGAGGTTTGGGAGAGAGGAGGGGGGGAAGAGAGCAGGGTGGGGAGGGGCGAGCAGTGTTCAGGGAATGTGTTGTGTGTGCTATCCATGTGTGATTGTGTGTTTCTTCCTCGTCTCGTCTTTCCATTGACCCCACTTCTTTCTCCCTGCCCACTCCTGCTTCCCTCATTGCATTCCCCTCCTCATTACCCCCATCTCATCCTGTCTCCCGCCGTTCTGCCACCCACCCTCCCCCCCTTCTCATCCTGCCGTCCCTCCACACATCCCACGCCCTGTTCGCCCCTCACACCGCACTCCCTCTCTGCCTGTCATCCCACCCTCGCCCACAACCCCCCTTCTCGCCTCCCTATTCACCCCTCTCTATTTCTCTACACTCCCCTCGTCCGCTTGTCCTTTTTCACTTCACCCTCCCCTCGCATCCCCACTGCGCCCCTCACGAGGCCATCCTATCCTATCGTGCACAATGCCTACCTACTACCACCTAGCAACCCGCGCACCATGCCTCCTTGCCGTGCCAACAACTGTGCTCGTTACAGCCTCTTGCATCACTCCCTCCCCCCATCCCTCCCCCCATCCCTCCCCCCATCCCTCCCGCCAGCCCTCCCTCCTCTCGACCTTCCCCCCATCCTTCCTCCCACATGCCTCCACCCAACGCATTCCCCGCCCCCCCACGCCTCCCTTGGCCGCTGCCCCCAGGCGAGTACATAAAGACGTGGCGGCGGCGGTGGTTTGTGCTAAAGGAGGGCCACATGTTCTGGTTCAAGGACGACAAGGTCTCCAAGGTGGGCGGGGGCTGCAAGGGTACACGAATGCAAGGGGGGGGCTGCAAGGGGGGGGCTGCAAGGGGGGGGCTGCAAGCGGGGGGCTGCAAGAGGGGGGCTGCAAGGGGGGGGCTGCAAGGGGGGGCTGCAAGGGGGGGGCTGCAAGGGGGGGGGCTGCAAGGGGGGGGCTGCAAGGGGGGGCTGCAAGGGGGTGCTGCAAGGGGGGGGCTGCAAGGGGGGGGGCTGCAAGGGGGGGGCTGCAAGGGGGGGGCTGCAAGCGGGGGGCTGCAAGAGGGGGGCTGCAAGGGGGGGGCTGCAAGGGGGGGCTGCAAGGGGGGGGCTGCAAGGGGGGGCTGCAAGGGGGGGGCTGCAAGGGGGGGGCTGCAAGGGGGGGGCTGCAAGGGGGGGCTGCAAGGGGGGGCTGCAAGGGGGGGCTGCAAGGGGGGGCTGCAAGGGGGGGGCTGCAAGGGGGGGGCTGCAAGGGGGGGGCTGCAAGGGGGGGGCTGCAAGGGGGGGGCTGCAAGGGGGGGGCTGCAAGGGGGGGGCTGCAAGGGGGGGCTGCAAGGGGGGGCTGCAAGGGGGGGCTGCAAGGGGGGGCTGCAAGGGGGGGGCTGCAAGGGGGGGGCTGCAAGCGGGGGGCTGCAAGGGGGGGCTGGCAAGGGGGGGCTGCAAGGGGGGGCTGCAAGGGGGGGCTGCAAGGGGGGGGCTGCAAGGGGGGGGCTTGCAAGGGGGGGGCTGCAAGGGGGGGCTGCAAGGGGGGTGCTGCAAGGGGGGTGCTGCAAGGGGGGGGCTGCAAGGGGGGGGCTGCAAGGGGGGGGCTGCAAGGGGGGGGCTGCAAGGGGGGGCTGCAAGGGGGGGGCTGCAAGGGGGGGGCTGCAAGGGGGGGGGCTGCAAGGGGGGGGCTGCAAGGGGGGGGCTGCAAGGGGGGGGCTGCAAGGGGGTGGCTGCAAGGGGGGGCTGCAAGGGGGGGGGGTGCAAGGGGGGGGTGCAAGGGGGGGCTGCAAGCGGGGGGCTGCAAGGGGGGGGCTGCAAGGGGGGGGCTGCAAGGGCTCGCACATTCATTCACGCACTCCATCACTTGCCCACTCGCTCGCTCACTCACTCACTCACTTGCCCAGTCACTCACCCACTCCCCTTCGCAAGCAGGACTCGCAGCCGCTGCCGCACGGGGTGATCAACGTGGTGTGTCTGACGATGAAGGGCGCAGAGGACGTGATCACTCCCTCCCTCTCTCTCTCACACACCCACTCTCTGTCTCTCCCCTCCTCCTCCCCCCCTCCTCCTCCCCCTCCTCCTCCCCCTCCTCCTCCTCCTCCTCCTCCTCCTCCTCCCCCCTCCTCCTTCTCCTCCTCCTCCTCCTCCTCCTCCTCCTCCCTCCCCCTCCCCCTCCTCCTCCTCCTCCTCCTCCTCCTCCTCCTCCCCCTCCCCCTCCTCCTCCTCCCCCTCCCCCCTCCTCCTCCCCCCTCCCCCTCCTCCTCCTCCTCCTCCTCCTCCTCCTCCTCCTCCTCCTCCTCCTCCTCCTCCTCCTCCTCCTCCTCCTCCTCGGACTCGCAACCACGCTCCCTACGTCCCTCCCTCACACACACACTCACCACTTCTCTCCCTCTCCCCCCCCCTTCTCGCAAGCAGGACTCGCAGCCACTCAGTGTGATCAATGCAAGGTGGTTTCTGACCATCAAGGGCGCAGAGGACGTGATCAACCCCTGCTACCCACTTGCTCGCTCCCTCCCTCCCTCCTTCCCTCCCTCCTTCCCTCCCACACACATTCACTCCTTCCCTCCATCCCTCCCTCCCTCACACACAAACTCGCCCACTCGTTCTCTCCCCGCCTCCAGGACTCGCAGCCGCGCGGGGTGATCAACGTGGGGCGATGTCTGACGATCAAGGGAGCAGAGGACGTGATCAACCGCGCGCACGCCTTTGAGCTCTCCACCTCCAACGACACGCTCTTCTTCATTGCTGACTCCGATAAGGCAAGCTGCCCTGCCCTGCTCTGCTTGCTCTGCTGCCCGCTCTGCGTGCTCCGACGAGGTCTGCTGCTCTGCTTGCGTTGCTCCCCGCTCTGCTTGCACCACATCACAGATAACCCACGCGTTGCTTGCACCTCTGCACTTCCAACAACACGCTCCTTCTTTATGCTGACTTCGGGAGGGTCTGCTGCACGCTTTTTCTCCTCGCTCATTCTTAGATCTACGCTTTGCCGAGTGATGGGCTAGCCAGTGATGGGCTAGCCAGTCAGGTCAGGTCAGGTCAGGGGACCCTTCGTGGTGCTCTCTACCCTTCCTGGAACTTTTGAAAGCTCTCCAACATCAGTGACACACCTTGAGTCGGCAAGGCAGGGGCTGAAAGAGGGTTTAGGGCTGTGCAGAGAGGTGCAGAGTGCTGGACACGCGCACAGCACAGCTCATGGGCACGGCATGCAGGCAGGATCGCACAGTGGAAGGGCAGGCCAGCTCACATCCCCTTCCTGCGTCTCTCCCAACCCACGACCTCATACGCCTCAAACCCCCTCATCCCTCTTCTGCCCATCCTCCCCTCCTGCTCCCTCCCCCCTCCCCTCCACGCCCCCTTCCACCTCTCACTCTCCCTTCCATCTCTCACCCCACCACTCCCCTCCCCCCATGTGTGGCTGGCAGGAGAAGGAGGATTGGATCAACTCAGTGGGGCGGGCCATAGTGCGGCACTCCCGGTCAGTCACGGACTACGAGGTCCTCGATTACGACTGCCGCTCTCACACCCGCGGCCCCACCCCTCCCGCTGCTGCCACGTCCCCCTCTGCTGCTGCTGGTGCTGCTGGTGAAGCTAGGTTGGATCCATCCGGTGGTGACCCCTCTGCCAGTGACGCCAAGGGGGAGCTTCCATCCGATGCTGCCCCAGCTGCTCTTCCTTCAGCATGACCGCACCGCACCACACCGCACCGCACTGACTTGGTTGGGGCTGCAGAGGGCTCTTCTCACGGCCACAGTGGGTGGGTAGCTTGCCCCGTGCGTAGCCATGTGTATAGCAGCACCGATGGTGCAGTGCAGCGTCGAGTGGTGGGCACTTGGCAAGCGATGTACTGTTGCCTTATGTTGTGAATGGGAGATATGGAGGCCGTGCGCTTGCAATAATACAAGTGCTAACAACTGTGCTTACTACGCTTATAGAAGTTTTGAGCTCACTGTGTTCTTGCTGGATGAATGGTGCATGTGTATGCAATGTGTCTCCATGTCCCTTCCATATACCTATGTGCTAGATGCTGTGGAATGGATGGGGGGTAGGTGAGGCTGTGGTACTGGGCCTTTTTGTGCTGTAAAACTGAGAAGTGTATTGTTGTACATACAAAGTCTTTCAACTATGACATGGTAGATTTACAAGTTTCGAACGCAGTGTTCGTCCTGGCATTCGTATTCTCCTGTCCTGCACATACCGTATGACCCCCAGGCTGGGCTCTTGCTCTCGTGGGAAATTGGCACAGTGGAGGTACCATATGTTTTCCACACAGCAATGTCAAATTACTCACAACAACTACCGGTGCAGGGCCCAAAATTGGTTTTGGCCTACCCTGTCAAATCAGAGTTCCAGGGTGGGCCAACCCTGACTCCTAGGGTAAAAAATTTATACCCTGATGAAAACAGGGTTAAAAAAATTCGTTCTCTGATTCCGTGTAAGAGTTAATACTTGTAACGAATTACTTCATTGCAAGTTGTAGTGTTTCACTCGGTCAGAGGTGAAGATGTGGGATGAAAGGTTGCAAGATCAACGCTCGCATTGGGAAATAAGCGGAGGAACTACTTGACGGCGCCATTTTGTGCGTCCACCATATCCTCGCTACTAAAGACTCGGTATCAGTGTAACAGGATTAAAACACTGATGAAAGTCAGGGGAAACAATCTATAGCTCCGAATTCATAGTTAGTGTAGTATCAACTTAATGTGCAATCTGTTGGTGGTGTACCCCCCTTTGCCACCTTCCCTACCTACATATATCTTGTACCTTCCTTTTTAGTGCAAACCCCTTCTGTCTAAACTCTCTCTCACAACTCTCGCTACTCACTCTGTTGATTATAACAGCTACACCCTCTACAGTACTCGTAATCCCCCGTATATGCTAGGCCAGCACTGGGGATGCCCGATTGATCATAGGGAAGGGTTACAGGCTTGCGAGCCTTGGGGGTTATAGGCGCACTAACCTGCTACTTACCGTCATCGCCCAGATATAAGACATATATGTCTTATCTCGTACATTGCTCAAAATGCTTGGGTTATCTTGTATTTTGAACGGTTAAGGGTGTCTAATAAGTCTAATAAATGGACAAAGAACCGTTTAGAAGATGCCCCCTCGCTATATAATTGCCCGTAACCCCTACACTGGCTTAACTCGTACACACAAATAGGTGTCTTATAATGAGGCTAGCCTCTTTATAACAGACACCCGGATAATAGACAACCCTTGTCTACTATTCAACACCGGGCGACGACGGTAATAAACCATTTTATCAAATTGATATAGTGGTTGGGATTCTGACACCCAGGTGTTGTGTTGAAACGCTTGAAAAAATGTCATTGGGCGTGTTGGAGTATGAAGGGAATTGAATATAGCATTCCCGTAGGTGCAGCTGTATCGCACCCGTCATTATCGAAGCAGCGCTAGCGGCAATATCAGATCAGCCCGCATCAAGGGCAGGAAGGTCAACAGTCGCAAGATTCAACTGTCGCGACTGTTGACCATCTGGACGGACGATTGACTAACCATCGAGGAATGGGAACAAGCTTAACCGTCCATACGGTCACACGCAGCGACTCGGTAAGAAGAAGAAGTGCAATGGTCAGAATCACTGTAGAATTGCCTATAAAGCTGTTAGAATAAGGGAATGTACCCCGCAGAGTACATGGCTAGCTAGATCTATTTTGTAAGTGTGTGATATATGTTTTAATGAACATTGTCATTTACATTCACTATGATCAGAGTTCATACCAACAAGACTTCCGCTACCAAACTCTCTAACGCATTCCTATCCTATCCAAGATCCTTACCCTAACAGGGCGCTCCATTGAGGGATGAATGTATAGCACCCATGTGTTAGTGAGAAGTATCTGTGCAGGAATGATGAATGATTAGCAATAGGGAGATACAAGCAGTAAACCCTAACTGGGGTTGTACTCTATACTGAGCACCTCACTATAGCCTAGCAGAACTAATAATATATAACAATGTTTTGACACACCCCCCACGGCAAAGAGAGGGATAGCCAACACAGCAAACGGTCACAGTCAGGCAAAAGAACAAAGCAATGCAAAGCCCAGGGTGGATCTCAAGATTACTACGCATTCTGAGCACAAGCAAGCGGCCACAAGGCTAGTTCACATGCGGAGTTATAAGAGTGAGGCAGTACACTGATCACAACCTAGCAAGAGTAAACATGCAGGTATAAAGATATATATCAGTGTACAACAAGTGCAAGATCAAGAGACAAGCTTGTGAGGCAGAACGGGCAGAAGCCCAAGAGCAGTGCAAAAACGCTGATGATCACCAAACCCGAGGGCCTTGATGAAAGCATAAGCAATGTTGGCCCGAGAAGCTATGTAGGAAAGGCGAAGGTCACCACGCTAGTGCAGCTCTCGAGCAAGAAAGTAGCGAAGAGCAATGTGCTTTGTTCTGTGCTCCAGTCTCTGCTCGTGACACAAGGCAAGCATGGCCTTGTTGTCGACGTACAGAATTGGAGGAGAACGAGGTCGCTCCCCCAAGTCGGTCAGCAGGTAGGTCAGCCAGCGTAGCTCCTGTGCAGCCGTAGCCCTAGTGTAGGTCTCGGCCTCACAGCTGAAACCAAGCATAGAAGACTAACGAGTAGATCTCCACGAGACAAAACCAGAGCCAAGAGTGAAGGTGTAACTATGTGATGAACGCTGAGTCGCCTGGTTGTCGGCCTAAGAAGCGTCAGAGTGTCCTGTGAGTACCACTGAACCTTGTCCTCCTAGCACGAGCCCCATGCTCGATGTACTACACAAGTAACGCAGTACCCTCTTTGTAGCATCCCAATGCACCATTCGGCTCTACGGACTAGTCCGAAGGTGGAGCTCAAGTCAGCTTCCTTGCGTCGAGCGGTTGGAAATTCTGCAAGGAGAAAGCGCAGATGGCGAGCCTCTTTGCCGGCTTCCGTGGCCGTGACGTACTCCGACTCGGTTGACGAGAGTGTCGCGCACTTGATGCGCTGGCTCAACCAGGAGACTGCGGCTCCTCTGAAGACGAACACGTAGCCGCTTGAGCTTGTCGATTCTACTTGTCGCTAGCGTTGTGGGCGTCTGCATAGCCGACCAGACAAAGCGACCCTGGTCCGCCGCCGAACTCCAGAGCAGCGTCACGGGTTTCAGCAAGGTAGAGCAGTCAGCTATCGACCTTACGCCAGTGGTTGTCGCTCCGCACTGTCAGGCCGGATCCGAGCTTGCTGCAAGCGAAGGCAATGTCGGGCCTCGTCGTGGTGGCCGCGAACTGCAGCGAGCCGACCTTCTGCTGGTACTCTACTTCCTCGCGTGACCGGAACTTCTCGTCGTCGAACATCAGCTCTGCGTATGCGACGACGGAGTTCGGCGTCTTTGGCACTCGCCCGGTTTGCTCCTCGTTAATGAAGCGTCTGCGCAGCTTGTCGACGTAGACTTCCTGCTGAAGCCACAGCTTCTTCGCTGGCCTGTCACGAACGATTTCCAGCCCGAGATACTTCTCGACCGGGCTGATTTTGCGCAGCTCAAAGACAACCTGCAGCAGCTCCTTCAGCATCGCAGTGCTGCTGCTTGCGGTAAGCAGGTCATCGACGTAGACAAGCACCCAGCACGCCACTCCGTCGTCGCCGACCTTGAAGTCGAGAGCCTCGGCGACTTGGCTCTTCTTCCAGTTCGCGCCAGTCAGCACGTCATTGAGCGCCTTGTATCACAGCAGCGGCGACCGCTTCAGCCCGTAGAGGCTCTTCAACAGCTTGCATACACGGCCGGTTCCGTTGTTGTAGTAGTCAGGCTGGTACATGTAGAGGATGCGATCCAGCTTGCTCCGCGGAAATGCGTTCTTCATGTCGAGCTGCATCAGATGCAGGTCGAGGACTGCTACATGCTGAGAAAAATCCGCAGAGCTACGTAGCTTCCCACCTGTGCGTGCGTTTCATCGTAGTCTGCGCCATAGACCTGTGTGAAGCCTTTCACGACCAGGCGAGCCTTCTCGCGAGCGACCGTGTCGTCGATATGGTACTTCGTCATGAGCACCCATCGGTTCTTCATGATGTTGACACTGCGCGGACGCTCGACCAGCTCCTGCGTCGTGTTAGAAATGAGGCTTCGGATCTCCTCGTCCATAGCGGCCTTCACGTCCTTGCCCTTCCAGCTCGCCAACGCCTCTTTCACCGTCATGTTGGCGATGTCCCAGCGATGCTCTGGGTCGGCGTGCATGTCGAGGTCGAGCTCAGACAGATCGACGTCGTCCTCTGCATCATCAAGCGTGTTAAGAGAGTACTTGGAGCTATGGCTAGAGAGGATGGTTGAAGTGATAGACTAACAAGAATGTCGAGATACAAATGTAGGAAACCCTAAATGAACTTAGGGTGTGTTCAGTTTGTGCTAGAAACTAAGAAATGAACCTAAATTGAACCGAAAGTGTATCTTGCTCTAGACATGGCGAAATGGCAAAAGAACGACCTGATTAATGCCAGAGCGAGCTCTAGCCTACTCCAACACACCCCCAAGCTAGGTGAAGCTCTGGAACAAAACACCTAGCGAATCGGAACACCCCTAGAAATGGTGAGACGAACGAGCCCAAGTGCGCGCACGTAGAAATGGTGTGGCGCACGAAGGAGAGCCCTGGTGAAAAATGTCAGCAAGGTTGTCAGTAGCGGCCACCTTACGAAGGTAGAGGAAGTCAGACTGCACCAACTCGC